GCACCAAGTAAAAAAAAAACCGACAGGAAATTCGTTTTGTCCTTAGGAAAACTATTGACAGAAACTGTCCACTATAAAATCTACAGAATGATTTATTCAGACTGTGCCATCAGAATCTTCACGCCGTGCACAAAGTCATCGATCGACTAAAAGCAAAGTCTACAGGAACTGTTTGTACTCTTAACCAAAACATCGAGATAAGAAAGACAAAAACATCATGTTTGGCGAATCAAAGAGAGAAACAAGAGACAGACACTGGCTTCAGGTGGTGATGGAAGTCTGGGCCCATCACATGTGTTGGCAAACTGATGCAGGACAATTTAATCATTAGCGGAAAGATATTACAGATATAATGTCCCCGTAGGATACTTTAATGGCGGGCTCAAGTTTTAACTTAGCACCGTATTGATTGTAGATTTGCACAACTCGACGGTAGAATGCAGTTTAGTGCTCACTCCGACCCTTGATTGTTTAGTTGGTGACTGCTGGGTAATGGGTCGGGCCTTGATTGTTTAGTGGGTGACTGCTAGGTAATTGGTCGGGCCTTGATTGTTTAGTGGGTGACTGCTAGGTAATGGGTCGGGCCTTGATTGTTTAGTGGTTGACTGCTGGGTAATGGGTCGGGCCTTGATTGTTTAGTGGGTGACTGCTGGGTAATGGGTCGGGCCTTGATTGTTTAGTGGGTGACTGCTAGGTAATGGGTCGGGCCTTGATTGTTTAGTGGGTGACTGCTAGGTAATGGGTCGGGCCTTGATTGTTTAGTGGGTGACTGCTGGGTAATGGGTCGGGCCTTGATTGTTTAGTGGGTGACTGCTGGGTAATTGGTCGGGCCTTGATTGTTTAGTGGGTGACTGCTGGGTAATGGGTCGGGCCTTGATTGTTCAGTGGGTGACTGCTAGGTAATGGGTCGGGCCTTGATTGTTTAGTGGGTGACTGCTGGGTAATGGGTCGGGGCTGTAGTGGGTTTTGGTTGTGGTGGGTCGGGGTTGTAGTGGGTCCGAGTTATGGTCAGTAGGGGTTTTGTTTGTTTTGGAAGCTAATATGGAAGTTGTGCAGACGAGGACTGTTAATTAGGGAAAATCTACTGTTGCAGCTGCTGCTGATGCTGCTGTTGCTGCTGATGATGATGACGATGCTGAAGATGCTGATGATGAGATACGTGATATTAAATAAAACAACCTCTGTGAGATTGCATTTATGTCGAATTTAGGTGGATCCGATGGAGAGTCCTAGATGTTTTCAACTAGGTTGCTACAGCAACTGTCAACATCCAGGTCAACGGTCATACAATCAAATACTGCTACTTTTGGAACTGGAACATCGCGATGGCTGCTGAAGGCTAATCACCGCAACGTTCTTTCCTTGTTTATTCTGATCGGTTCTGTAAAGCTGACATATAAATTATGTTTTTCGTACAAGCTTTTGTATAAGCTTCCTTTCTGTTGTTTTCAATCTCTTTTAGATTTTCGTAGCTGCTATCGCAACAAAAACAGCAACAAGCAGCAACACCAACTACTACTTCTTCCTCTTCTTTTTCTTCTTGTTCTAATTTCTTCTTCTTGTTCTTCTTCTTCTTCTTCTTCTTCTTCTTCTTCTTCTTCTTCTTCTTCTTCTTCTTCTTCTTCTTCTTCTTCTTCTTCTTCTTCTTCTTCTTCTTCTTCTTCTTCTTCTTCTTCTTCTTCTTCTTCTTCGTCGTTGTCTTCTTCTTCTTTTTTTTTCTTCTTTTTTTTTCTTCTTTTTTTTTCTTCTTTTTTTTTCTTCTACTTCTTCATCGTGATTGTCGTCATCGTCTTCTTTTTTCCTCCTCCTTCTCCACCACGATAACCATGACCTCCATCACTACTGCTACCAGGGAAGTATCTAGAATCTTGCCTGCGGGTGATGCTAGAACCATGATGGCTCATTACCTACTCAAACATAAGCTATCAAAACGGCGGAGGTTATCTGTAGCAGGTGTATGTGTTCACTGCTACCTTTGCCTATATCACACGCTGAAGCCCTAGTGTCTTCCACGACATGACTCGTACAATAGACCTACAGCCACCTGTCTTCCACCGTATGACTCTCGTACAGCCACAAGAACGACGTTTTTAATTTTTAATTTTGACTGGGAATCGAATTATGGTACATCGAGAAGTGTGAAACCAGCTCACTAACCTCGAAGCTACTAAACCTCACTACTTAACTGTTTGCAGGGCAGTTACTATCTCCGCTCGTATTGTCAAACAGATTCTTGACAAACTTTGAAATTCATGTATATTAACCCACTACTTGTGTGCCCTCAAACCTATTGTAGCGTTATCCGCCTCTCTGAAGTGAGTATTTTTTCCGAAATATCTATGAGATCTGAACAGACCAACGGGGAAGAGCTGTTAATGGTACTCTGTTTTCTCATCAAGCGTATCGCGGTGTTGACGATACCATGGACCTGAATGGGAAGAACTCGATAAGTGAATCGAACTGAACAATTTGTGTGATCGCTGAGACTGATGGGAATCGATTACGTCTCGCTTGGGGTATAAAATAACAGGAACCGTTGTGAGGTGCTCTGTTCCGTTTGTAACGATAGACTTAATAAAGAGTCGGAGACTTAATGAGGCGGTCAGGGTGTGGTGGCGACAGACTCACTAGGGTCTAGACTGTGTCAAACAGACAGTTGTTTTAGACTGCTAGATAGATTAAAGAAACGGTGAAATGAAAGTATAAAGGGTTAAGAGGGGGAAAAGTATTACATTTATAAACAAGATTACACTACAGTTTTAGCCCTCTTTCTGTGACTCTCTCTTTTCCTCTGACTCTCTTTCTATAAGTAAACAGTCTACTCAACCTCCGTGAAATACACTAGGTAATAGAAGAAAGAAGTCAAATCAACTTCCGAGTCAACTTTGGGAGCGAAGAAATCAGGGACGAGCCACGGCAACCGCTTGTTTTAACGGTCATGGCAGAAGAAGAAAAAATAAGAATATGGCAATACACTGGACAAGTCATGGGGCGAAAACGACAGAGAGCAGATGCTGTGAAGTGGGAAACGAATGGACTGAGGAAAAGATGACGACTAAGAGAAATCCTGAGAGGAAGGTTGGTGAGAGAGGCCGAGTGTGCTGGACTGGATTCTACCCATGAAAGGATTTCAGATCGCAGAACGGAATAAAGGACGCGGTGATAAAATGAACTGTCAACAAAAGAAACAAAAAACTAAAGCTGTATGGTGGGATTGGAGTCGTAAAATACTATATCAATGATGTAATTTGCTTTTTCACCCCAGGGTTTTTCGCAGAAAGTTTGGGCACGGACTTCAAAATTTTAAAGCTGCGATGCAACGCTGGACCCCCGACAGCAGATAACGACGTCATGTCTATCACAATCTTCAACGGAACCAGCTCAAACAAGATGGCCTGGGTGGCTAAGGGACGTGAGCCCTCTACCGGCAATCTCTCCATGGATAAAAATCTATTTTTAGCTGGGGGTCTGTATGGGTGAGTAGCCAAATGTGTTTCTTCTTGTTACTGTCGATGTTTGAAAACACGGCCAGCTCCAGATAAAGGACATACAGCTAAAACGGAAATTCCCGTTTTTGTGAGGCTGGCGTGGCCGGTCGGTGGTAACAATTGTTTTCAAGTAGAATTATACACATATTTAACTACAGTTTAATTAATTTGCAACATGTTTTATTAAATGAATTATTATTTTGAAGGTAAATAAATGGGTAATTGGGAAAAAAAATTTAATATACGTGACAGATACCAACATCTACGTGTCACATACCAACATCTACGTGACACATACCAACATCTACGTGACACATACCAACATCTCCATAGGAGGTATGTGACCTAGATATGATCAGTCACTGGAAGAAGGGAGGAATACACCACTAGACAAGCATGGCATCTCTAAGGTTGTCATCACACTCGGAAGGTACTGCAGTAGACACAAAAGTAAGGGAACTGATAGATCAGCATTCAGACCCAAAAGATATCATCTACACAGATGGATTCGTGAAGCGCGGATCAAGGTCAGCATCGGCATACACAGCGCCAAGAAGGGGGAAAACAATACAGGAGGACAGCGGCGCTTACTGGACAACCACGTCAGGCATGACCATGGAAATAGCCGCTACTTCTAGAGCTTTAGCATGGGTATTCGAGCAAACCGCCACACAAGCAGCTATTGTATCAGACTCCGTGAATATGATTCAGAAGATAGCAACCGGCGGTAACAATTGTTATCGAGTAGATTTATACACATATTGAACTACAGTTTAATTAGTTTGCAACATGTTTTATTAAATTAATTATTATTTTGAATGTATTTAAATGGGCTATTAGAAAATATTTACCTTCAAAATGATAATTCATTTAATAACATGTGTTGCAAACTAATTAAACTGTAGTTAATTTTGTGTATAAATCTACTCGATAATAATTGTTAATACCATCCAGCCTCACAAAAACGGGAATTTCCAGCTGTATGCTGGGGCTGGCCGTGTGTGAAACCCTGTCGATTGTTCTTCACTTTTTTGAAAATGGTCCTTGTGAAGTGAGTGACGCCGCACTGTGAAGTAAGTCGTGAATACTGGAATAGAAGGCGGATTTTAAAACAAACAGCACAGCACTACTCTCACTGTCATAGGTATATACACTGTCGTGTAGTATTCCCCCTGTGGGTTCCTGGTTCCCATTTGGTCAGGTGGGGGACGGTGGGAATGGATACACTGCTCCCCTAATAAGCATGTCATAAAATGCAACCTATTGGGAATATTTCTCTCAAAAGTCGAAACGCATCTGCCTGCTCGGCGAAGAACCAACAGTGTGCATATAAGTAAGCCATATCTGTACAACGGATGCGCACGCACAATTCACGATCTAGAACAAGACCAAAGTGCAGACGTGGACGAACAACCAGAACTTTTTGTGGGAGTTTACAGCCGCTAAACGCCAACAAGACAAAGAAGATGTTACTGTGGTGAACTATTGAGGATTCATAGGTGTACATACTCCTTAAACTGCGACTGGCCCAGCAAGCCAGCAGTTGATTACATTTTGTTCGAAGAAACAACAAGAAGAGAAATCGGTCTTATACTTTCTGAGGTATCCGAAACAGTAGATACCAACATCTACGTGACACATACCAACATCTACGTGACACATACCAACATCTACGTGACACATACCAACATCTACGTGACACATACCAACATCTACGTGAGACATACCAACATCTACGTGACACATACCAACATCTACGTGACACATACCAACATCTACGTGACACATACCAACATCTACGTGACACATACCAACATCTACGTGACACATACCAACATCTACGTGACACATACCAACATCTACGTGGCACATACCAACATCTACGTGACACATACCAACATCCACCTATTACATACCAATATATACATAGCACATATGAACATCTATGTGGAACATACCCACATTTACGTGGATTATACCCACATCTACGTGGCACATACCAACATCTACCTATTACATACCAACATATACATAGCACATATCAACATCTACGTAGCACATACCCACATCTACGTGGATCATACCCACATCTGTGTGGAACATACCCACATCTATGTGGAACATACCCACATCTATGTGGAACATACCCACATCTATGTGGAACATATCCACATCTATGTGGAACATACCCACATCTATGTGGAACATATCCATATCTATGTCGCACATACCCACATCTATGTGGAACATACCCACATCTATGTGGAACATACCCACATCTATGTGGAACATACCCACATCTATGTGGAACATACCCACATCTATGTGGAACATATCAGCATCTACGTGGCACATACCCACATCTATGTGGAACATACCCACATCTACGTAGCACATACCCACATCTATGTGGAACATACCCACATCTATGTGGAACATACCCACATCTATGTGGAACATACCCACATCTATGTGGAACATATCAGCATCTACGTGGCACATACCCACATCTATGTGGAACATACCCACATCTACGTGGCACATACCCACATCTATGTGGAACATACCCACATCTATGTGGAACATACCCACATCTATGTGGAACATACCCACATCTATGTGGAACATATCCATATCTATGTCGAACATACCCACATCTATGTGGAACATACCCACATCTATGTGGAACATACCCACATCTACGTGGCACATACCCACATCTACGTGGCACATACCCACATCTATGTGGAACATACCCACATCTACGTGGCACATACCCACATCTACGTGGCACATACCCACATCTATGTGGAACATACCCACATCTATGTGGAACATACCCACATCTACGTGGCACATACCCACATCTACGTGGAACATACCCACATCTACGTGGCACATACCCACATCTACGTGGAACATACCCACATCTACGTGGAACATACCCACATCTATGTGGAACATACCCACATCTACGTGGAACATACCAAGGCTGGCACCCGATACCTCTTGAAACCCTGACGCTGAAAGGCAAGATAGGATTAGAGAAGAACAGAAAGAGGAACTAAAGATTGACTCTACGGAAAAGTTCAACTTGATCACAAGAACTTGTGGCTGAAAAGTAAGAATCGAACATAAGAAGTATAGACGAATTTGACAATCATTTTTACAGTTTAGTTTCCCTCTTCTGTTACCTATGACCTCTCCCAGTCGTTAGGAAAGAAAATAGGGGCTTTTGAGTTGTAATGCTTAAGAAAGATTCTTAGAATACCATGAACTCAGAAGAGAAGAAATACTGAAATGTTAGAAGATCTGAACATCAAGGAAGATTGGCTAATAAACAGCATCTTGTCTCGGAAGCTGACGTATTTTGATCTTGCCACGCGCCAAGGCGGTTTGGGAGAAAATAGCAGAAGACATGGTAACAGGAAGGAGGGGCAGGGGCCGGCCAACACGAAGATGGGCACAGGATATAAGTGACTCCTTGAGTGTGAATGTACGCTAGGCGGGAGAACTTTCAAACAGACTGTGATGAGAGCGACGTTCTGCAAAAGACCGGAGAATGATGAGTTTGTTACCGTCATGCAGTGCTACAAATATGTGTTCTCATTGTCTTATTCCTATATTGTGACTTGTCTTAGACAAGATAAGACAAGACAAGGATAGCAAATAGCAGTTAAGACAATATAGCGTATATGATAAATAAATTTTAAAAATTCACACACAGAAAAGACCGACAGACAAGCAGCTAGATAGACGGGTAAAACAGAGCGATGTGCAAAACCATTTTTAGAAAGACAGAATCAAAAACTGATAAATATAGAGACGCTTATAGAGATATACAGTAAATAAATGTGCATTTAAGATAAGGTCAGAGAGGTCAAGATAAGGTAATACACGTGAGAAAATATGAAATACGAGAAGAACTATGAAGTGAGAAGAGGAAAGATGTCATAGGATAAGATATTATTTAAAAAGATAAATTTTGATAAATTAAGACCAAGTAAGAAACGACAAACAAAAAAACCAGGACAAGACAATATAAGGAAAGATTGACAAGATAATTGAAGCTAAAATATGATAAAAGAGAAGCTATGGCAGGTAAATATGTGAGAGGACAAGCCTAGACAAGACAAGATCAGAAAAGTGTGTCCATAACAGCAATATTTGTCTCCCACCAGCGGTCACACTCCACTGGCCAGCCTGCAGATCCTCATGATTGACTACGAGTCCCACGAGGACCAAAAGTTCGTCTGCAACGTGACAATCATGACAAAGGACGCCGAGTTTAGGATGCTCTCTTGGACAATCCTAGTCAACAAAACAGGTGAGACATTCCTCTCTAGTTATTCTCATATCTGACACCGGCTTTTATGTCTCCCCAGTCTAAAATGAGCATGGGAAGAAACCGCAGGTGAAACATTATTCTTTAGATGTTTTCGTATTTCCCACTGGCTTTCATGTCTCCACAGTCTAAAATGAGTAGGGGAAGAGATGACAGCCGTGATGATGTTGACGTCGCCCGTTGGGATCCAGATGGTTTGGAATCAAACGCATCGCTAGGATTTTGATTTAACAAATGTCTTCACTCAATGGTCTACCTAGCTTGAAATGGGAACCAGGAAATGTCACTGAATAGACCGGTGGCTAGCTTGGTGATGACCTCATCCTCTGTGGAATCACGAAATGCCCTATCTTTAAAGTCCCAAACTAAAGGATTTGTTATCATTGTGGATTCGGGGACCCCATTTGGAACAGAAACAGAACACAATCAAGAAATGCGATCTACTGGTCTTTCTAAAACGATACTATCGAGTTTTGTAGACGGGAAGAAGGCAGGGTGTAGAGCAAGAAAGATCTGGATACAAAATGTGGCTGCATGGACGGGCCTCAAACATGCAAACGGGAAGTCCGTTGCATCTGATTGACAGAGGAGAAGAGGCTGACGAGACATTCAACAGAAACTGCTCACCCACAGACACGTGACGTTAACGACTATGATGAAATGACGATAATGATGAACAAAGACAGCTCTCAGAGATAAGGCTTTACAAAAAAACGGGCTAACAATTCCTTGGACTCAGAGGTTCCTTGGACAAACAACAAGAGTCACCCAACTGTTTTCAAAGATGCAAGGGGCCTCAGACAAACGATCACAAAGGTCATAATGAGACGTTCATTATTTTTGTTGCCATATTATGAGAATATGGAAGCTGAACACGTCGCCACTGGAAAGATATGTGGAAAGAGCGGTAAAGGGAGACAACGCGAGTATTCAACATCATTCTGTCATAGCCTGGATGGGCACCAGCTCACTCCTGATTCCTGATGTTGGATATCATAGGTTGTGGAGACATGATCCTTCACGTCATTCGACACAACACTTGGATATTAAAGGTTGTGGAGACATGATCCTTCACGTCTTTCGACACAACACTTGGATATCATAGGTTGTGGAGACATGATCCTTTACGTCATTCGACACAGCACTTGGATATTAAAGGTTGTGGAGACATGATCCTTCACGTCTTTCGACACAACACTTGGATATCGTAGGTTGTGGAGACATGATCCTTCACGTCTTTCGACACAGCACTTGGATATCATAGGTTGTGAAGACATGACCCTTCACGTCTTTCGACACAACACTTGGATATTAAAGGTTGTGGAGACATGATCCTTCACGTCATTCGACACAACACTTGGATATTAAAGGTTGTGGAGACATGATCCTTCACGTCATTCGACACTGTACTTGGATATTAAAGGTTGTGGAGACATGATCCTTCACGTCATTCGACACAACACTTGGATATCATAGGTTGTGGAGACATGATCCTTCACGTCATTGGACACAGCACTTGGATATTAAAGGTTGTGGAGACATGATCCTTCACGTCATTCGACACAACACTTGGATATTATAGGTTGTGGAGACATGATCCTTCACGTCATTCGACACAACACTTGGATATTAAAGGTTGTGGAGACATGATCCTTCACGTCTTTCGACACAACACTTGGATATCGTAGGTTGTGGAGACATGTTCGTTCACGCCATTCGACACAGCACTTGGAAATCATAAGTTGTGGGGACATGATCATTCACGTCATTCGACACAGCACTTGGATATCATAGGTTGTGGAGACATGATTCTTCACGTCATTCGACACAGCACTGTATGATAATTGTGTAAAATGTACAAAAATAATTCTGAAACAATACAATCATGTATATCCTGGCATGAAACCACACACATAAAAAGTGAACTCCCTGTTTCTCGTTATCTTTAACTGTGTGATTTCTTTCTATCAAGAAGACATCACATTATTGGAATTCTCCAGCCAAATTCACATTGGCAACACAGTAATTGTTTGTTGTCATTGATTAATTAAACATCGGGTGACGGGGAGGTTAGACTTCTCCTGAAGATTTGAGCGCTGAGAGAAACATTTCCATCTCTGGCAGACAATGAGCAATTTCTACGGAATATCAATAACAAATAAATCATATTTACACATATTTGTAAACGGCAGGGGCGTGGGGCGGGGGGGGGGGGATTTGGAGGAGGGGGATAGTAGGGTTGGATGGGGTGGGGGGAGAGGGACTTGTTGTATTTTGGGACAAACTGAGGGCAAGAAAGCTGGAATTTCAATGTTGTTCATTTTTTCCTATAGTGTGGCACTGAATTAGTAGTATCAAGAGAATTTAAAAAAAAAAAATTACAAAATAAACCACAGACGGAATGTAAGGTGAGAGTGAAGTAAACAAGACAGAAGGGGACGGGGTTTCCGAGGCGCTGTAATAAACCACAGGATGTCATAGAAAGAGAGAGAGGGAGTGGGAGAGAGAGAAAGAGAGAGGGAGAGAGGAAGAGAGAGAGGGAGAGAGAGGGAGAGAGAGAGGGTGAGAGAGGGAGGTAGAGAGAGAGGAAGAGAGTGAGGTAGAGAGAGGGAGAGAGAGAGGGAGGGAGATGGAGGGAGGGAGAGAGAGAGGAAGAGAGGGAGAGAGAGAAAGAAAAGGAGAGAAAAAGAGAGAGAGAGAGAGGGGGAGACAGAGAGAGGGAGAAAGAGAGGGAGAGAGAAAGAGAGAGGGGAGAGAGAATGAGAGAGAGTAAGAGAGAGAGAGAGAAATAAAGAGAGATAGAGAGAGAGAAAAAGAAAGACAGAGGGAGGGAGGGGGAGAGAGAGGGAGAGAGAGAAAGAGAGAAAGAAAGAGAGAGAGAAAAAGAGAGAGAAAAAGAGAGAGAGAAAGAGAGAGAGAAAGAGAGAGAGCGAGAGAGAGAGGGAGAGAGAGGGAGGGAGAGACAGGAAGAGAGAGAGAAAGAAAGAGAGAGAGAAAGAGAGAGAAAGAGAGAGAGAAAGAGAGAGTGAGAGAGAGAAAGAGAGAGAAAGAGAGAGAGAGAAAGGGAGAGGGAGAGGGAGAGAAAGAGAGAGAAAGAGAAAAGAGAGGGAGAAAGAGAAAGAAAGAGGGAGAGAGAAAGAGAGAGGGAGAGAGAAAGAGAGAGGGAGAGAGAAAGAGAACGAACGAACGAACTTTATTTTTAAAGGGTCACAAATTGGGCACGCAGGCCCGTCTTACATTCGGCCCTTCCAGTCAACCATCTTTCGCACAGCAGTTGTATTTTACTAATAAAGCATGTTATGATCATATGATGTTATGCATATTATGAATATTATAAAAGAACACAAAAGCATGAGTTGTAAAGTGCATGCAAAAACCCGCGCGTGCATACATACACCCACATACACGCGCTCACCCACTCACTTACACACACAAACATGCATGCATACATTACATACATACATACACAGCTACATACAAACAAACATGCATACACACATACACACAGGCATACGTACACAC